ATTTTGTAATAAAAAAAAAAATTTTTAAATATATATATTATTATTATTATAAAAAAAAAAAAAAAAAAAAATTTGATCTATGTGAATGGATGTATCTGCAAATATTGTATGTATGATACTTCTGGAAGTTAACCATCCTTTGACAGTGGTTTAGCACTTTTGTCGGTGGAAGCGTAAACGTAAATTGCACCAACATTTAATAATTTTGGCTTCACACACAGAGACACCATCATTTGGCTTTCTAAACTCTTCTACACAATCTTTTGGACAACCTTGAAGTGCATTTGGATGTACCTAGTGCAGTCATATTCTTATTATTTTCGCTTATTAATTAATTAACAATTAAGATTAGTGTAATTCAGTGATCGTATAGATGCGAGTAAGATGCGAGATGTATTCGTTTATCAAGAATATGATGATATTATTGTTTTCGCTTGAGTCATGCGATTCAAAAGAATTAGTATTTTAATTCAAGCCATAAAGACCATAGCTAAAGAAAAGTTTAAAATTTGTATTTATTTATTTTTGTTTTTTCTAAAATCTAAATTAAGTTCAAAGTTCTTCAACAGCGGTTCTCGGTGACAAGACCTGTATGGTCTTCTTTGAGTATTCGCGTTCTTTATCTTTATTCTTTAACGGTTTCTTTGCATGCAATTTTTCTTATTGATTTATTTGAGAATATTGTATTAAATATTGCAATAAAGAACAAAAAAAAAAATTTTAAGATTATTTTAATTTTTCAAAAAAAAAAAAAATTTCATCTTGCTACACCCAATCAAAGTTTTTCAAAATTTGAAACTTTTTACAAGATTGACATTTTCTCGAGATCTAAGATACATATAAAACATGTATGCAACTTATTTGTTAGCTTACTATGTCTAGAGCAAGCTTGAAAAAAATTGGCACCCTAGCTTTATGGGATCACTTTGCTACAACTTGATTTCGTATACCATGATAGTATGGACGGGGGGGGGGGGGGTAAGAGCAAAAAAAAAAGTTTTCGTTTAGCAAATCACTTTGTTACAATATGGTTATAAAATCGCATAATAATTTTTATTTAATTTTATCGTAAAAATATTGTGATGTAGAATGAAATAGAAAAGTAAATTATGAATAATGAAAATACATTTAGATAAAGTAATAAAAAATAAGATTCTTTTACAATCTATATAAAGTATAATATAAACCACGAATTTTAAAGTATACAAATAATAAAACCGCTAAGTATCATTATTATTAGGACAAGAGAAAAACATGCAAAAGGCCAGATGATTTTTGGTTCAAAAAACCGATTGACTTATGATAAATTTTATATTTTAAAAATGCTATTTGTTTTACAAAACCTCATGATAGATTTTGTTTATATTGACAATTTAAAAAGACTGCGTTTGGTACATATAAATATGCAGTTAGACAATTTTTAACAATTATTGAATATTTATACTTTATCTATACTTTTTTTATTTATCAAAAATCAGTATCTAAAGTTTTCATTGCTTTTGGTTTAAAGTTAGTTTAATGCTAGTTTTTTTATTAAAAGTACATTCATAAAGTTGTTTATGTTTAGTTATTTTTAAAAATAATGTTAAACTAATATTTTTTGAATGTATTTAATACAATTTTTAAACTATGAGGACCTAGGACAGGTATTTTTAGATTCCGAAATTAATAAATGCAAAAGAATTCTATTAAGAGAAAAAGAGTAAGTGCTCGCACCAAAGAGCACATTTTGGTGGGTAAACCAGCTAATATGTGTTTCATGAAACTACTGACTAGGGCTGAAGGGACTAAGCAACTTCTTTATCTTAAAGAAAAGAATGGGCCTCGTTATCAAAATAAGCGTCTTATATGCTGTTCTCTCAGCAACAAGTTCAACTTTTATTTATACTTTAATTTTCAGGTTCAATTTTTATTTATACTTTAATTGGTTTAAAATGAACAAAAAACCTACAGAAAAACATATCTATTTATAAGTAAATAGATATATAATAGATATTATAAGTAAATAACACTTCAATAGCATTGAGGAAAAAGTGTCCAGTGTACTTCTTTGGATACTACTTGCAAAAAGGAATGTGTGCTAGGAGCACTTTGGTTTCCATCGCTAAGATCTGGTTTCCCTATGATTGGAACTGTCACCCTGTAAAGAAATATAACAAAATATATTATTTTGTTATATTTCTTTACAGAAAAACCAACATAACAGTAGGGCAAGATGTGTGCAATCTCGCACTGACTTTTTAAAGACTGTAAGAGGTCCTAACTACTTTTTATTCAAAAAGTTATTCATAATCTCCTTTGAAATTCACTCCTCCAGTTTAAACTAAATAAACCTCAAAAATATTTACTTGAATTGTAAATTTTTTATTTGATGTAAATATTTTCAAGGACTGTTTTGGCTCAGTAAAACAAAGAAAAGTCTTATCAAAGCAATCAAAGCAGACAAAGATAGGCTTCATTCCGACAAGTCTGAGGACTTGCTATTTCTGAAGGATCAAATGGGAGAAAGAAAAATGACGCTTAGGCCTATTGACAAGCATAGAGCCGAGATAGAACAGAAGAGAAATAGCAGGATTCAGAGTAAAGTTATAACATCAACAAGTTTTTGCGAAAAATCATTTGTTCAGTCTAGAAGTTTTAAAGTGTGCTCTACTGATGGTGTACATCTAAAACAATTTCTTCAGAACCAAGTTTAGAGTCTGAATCAGAAAATAATTACATGAACTGTTTAATAAGGAGTTTTAAAAATCAAGAACAAACAATTGTCATCAACCGAGAAGTTATTAAAGAAACTATGAGAACAGCTATAGGCATGGATATAAAAGGTCATAAAATTAAAGCAACTCTGACAAAGTTTGTCACCGCAGCTGGAGATGATCCAAATAAGTTGCCCCTTTCTTATACTTCAGCTTTTCGAATGAAAAACAATATTATTTAAAAAGATGCTAAAAATATTAAGATTTTTATAAAAAAAAAAGATCGAACAGGGTAAGGTGAAAATTCAGCTACACTTTGACCGAAAGTTAATCAAGGTTTGCATATATTTAATTTTAACTAGTATTTTAATTGAAAACAACTGCTTTTCTTACATCATTCTTTTCAAATCACGGCGATGTAGTAGTTGATAGGATTTGTGTTCTTGTGAGATCTGGAGGTACTGATCATCTACTTGGCGCTCCAGGAGTTCGTTCTGGTACAGGGCTAAATCAGTTCAAGGCTATCAAAGAAATTTTGAAAAAGTTTGAAATTGCTGATCATGTAAGGATAGTCTGCTTCGATACTACTGGTAGCAATACTGGAATGATTCGTGGTGCTATATAAAGGTGAACTGTTTTTCAATATAATTTAAAAGAAAGACTCTAAAAGCTAATTACAATAAACAATTTAGTTATGAATTTTTCAGACTGTGAAACGATGTTGGTAAAGCATTGTTGATGCTTGCTTGTAAACATCATGTTTTAGAAGTCATATTAAAACATTATTGGTTAGCAGTTACCATAGACAAAACCACAGGACCTGACAATGCACCAGACTTGGTCGGGAAGCGGGAGCGATCGCTCTCGATTGCTGACCACGTAAAGAATATTTAGTTGCGAAAAGATGGCCAGATTTTTTAGTCGTATTGAGAACATTTTTAAAAGCCAAAAAAAAAAGCGATTAAGATTAATTGGACCGATGAATGACAATTATAAAAAAAAAAAAAAAAGTTAAAGCTAAATAAATTATGTTTAGAACAAATATTTTCGAAACATCGCCCTTTTATAATTTTTTTTATAAAATTAAGCGATGTTTTATATATAAAGTAACAACTTACGATTGTTTAAAAAGGAAACAAATATTCTTTATTAACAAAGTTTGCAAGTTTTAGTTTTATTTAAGCTAAATTATTTTATAAATAAAAAAGTTTATTTTTTTAATACCTATTTTATGTTTCGCGTAGTTTGAAAAGTTTAACATATTTGAAGCAATTCTTCTTAGTAAGATAAACAAATGAAATAATTAAATCATTGAATTACTATAGAAATTAAATTAACAAGATAGAAATCAACTAAAAGGGGAGGAAGCGAAACTGCTTCACAATATCGCTGATGATGTTTAGTGAGAGGGCTTTTTAATTTTAATTAGTATTTAAAGCAGAAAAAAGTATAACGAGTTTTAAGAATGGCAACTTAAGCGAAAATAGTTAGAGTTAATAAACCAATATCTAAAAACTTTTCTTTGTATCTAGTAATTTGCTATAAATATTTGTGTTCTGTCGTACGCGGTGCTTGTTCATCCGCGAGTTACTTCGTATGCATTGTTTGTGTTTAGTAACCAGAAACTTCTTATATGTTTGTTACATAATTAATTTTATTAATTTGGACGATTATAACTTCATTGAAAACGCAAATATTTTAGTAAGTCTTTTGTTTAAATCATAAAAATCGCTTTAAAAGATATATTACGATAAAAAACAGATACACACAATTACATTTACATAAAGAATACTTTTTAAATAAAAAATAAGAATATACTAATAAAATCTATAATTTATAATAAACTTTTAAAATTTTGACAATTTAATGAATATATATTTAAAACATTTATTTTTGTAAACAAATAATATATATTCTTAAAACAATTTACGCTAGAAATCTCAAAACGTAACAAATCGTGAATAATACAATTTCTAATACATTTCAACAGAATACTCTAAAACTTTATTTCGCTTAGTCAGCGTATTTTTTGAACCAATTGAATTAGTTTGTTCGTTAATTTGGGGGGTTTTTAGTGTTCGCGAATATTCTTTTTATTCTTTCGCACCAAGATATTTTGAGAACATTCAAGTTGTTTATGTTTCCATGTATGTCCGTAAAACAAAAATTTTTTGTTTCGTACATAAACTTAAATGTTCCAAAACGACTAAAAAACATGGCCAGTTTTTCGTAACTAAATATAATTTCCGTGGTCAGTATTCGAGAGCGATCGCTCCCGCGTCCCGACCAAGCCTGATGCACTCTTTAAAGGCTTGAAAAGTAAGTGGAATGATATTGATGTGAAAAACTGTGTCATCACTCACTTCAAATGGCAATCTATTTATGATTCTTGGTTTAATGAAAAAGCAGAAAAAGTAAGAAAATGTTTAATGACGATTGTGAATGAAGGAGTCTTCAAAAACTCTAATGTAAACTTTTCTAACCATTTAAATCTTCAAGTTTGAATACAAAAAAATAATAAATGAAATTAAATATCCGCATTAAACTTTTTTAGAGACACGAGAAGAGAGCAGACTACCAGGAACTTGCTTAGCTAGCTCTCATGTTCTTGGAACCGACATTCAAGCCTCTCAACATACACAAGCCTGGAGCAGTACATCAAGCTCGTTTTATGGCAAAGAGTATCTACTATCTAAAGATTATGCTTCTTCTTAATTCGACAAAGTAAATCGTAAAATTGAGCCAGGAGAAGATTAATGAGGTGGAAAAAATGGCAATTTTTATTTCAATTTTCTATGCTCCTCAATTTCTGAGAGTTGAAAAATCAGATACAGCTGCAATCCAAGTTAGTTTTTTTAACCTTTGATACAAATAATCATAGTTAAATTTTAGCATTATTATTTGATAAAATAGTGTACCCAAATTGTATTGAAATTTTAACATTGCAGGACCAGTACTTTATCTGGCAGATGGCCCACTTGGAGAAGTTTGATGTAACTGCAGCTTCAATCTTCAAAAGGTGGGGAAAACACAGCTGGTACTTAGATCGCACTGTTATTTTTGCCCTAGCCATTACAAAGGAAGAAATGGCTAGAAAGCTAGTACAGTATCCTCGAACAAACAAGTATGATTTTGAAAGAAAGAATAATTCCGGTTTTATTTCACAAAAGACCAAATTTCTCAAACTCACCGAGCCACCTTCACTCGTTAATTATGTAGGAGCTGAGTAATGGTTAGTGTTTGATATGCTTGAACACACTGAAAGACATGTTAAGTGGCTTTTTTATCTTTCGTCTACATGGAATATAGATCCAGATTTCATTGCTTTTCAACTATTTGTTAAAAGCTTGGCAGTTGTTAATGATGCAGCAGAAAGAGCCGTAAAAGCGATTCAGGAGGTTTTTTACAGATATATGACAAGAAGAAACTGCAGAAAATGTTAATAGTCAAGAATAAAATAAAGAAATCAATTTCACGCACTTTCAAAGCAGCAAATAAAGAGGCAGCTGAACAGCTTACACCTGCTTAGAAGCTAAGCCTTGCGTACGAATATGAATGTCTTGAGGAGACGGAGGACAAGTTATCACTATCTAGTACTAGTGATTTTGACAGTAGCTTGGATATTGTTGATGAAGATGATGTGGTTGAGACTATAGAGGCTGAAAACGAGGTCTTCAATAATGCAGAAACCTAAGTCTATATTTTAAGTTAATATTTTTTTCAACGCTATTATTTACTTTTCTGAAGTACAAAAGAAGGGGAAGGGGGAGGAAAAGGTACGGGAAAAAATTATCCATACATGCCCCTCCCTGTTTTGGTAAAGAGACATCAATATGTTTTTTATATTTATTTTGCTAGCTATAAGGAGATTGTACAAAACTCTTTAGATCTATATAACTGCTGCAACACCTAACTATAAAATCTTGACTCATTGAGCTGCGGTATTATGGCGAAGGTTTTATTATTTTTTATCAATTTAAAAATTTTTACGTTTTCATATTTATACAGTTTCAACTTGAATTTGAAAAAAAAAAAAAAAATTGACTTCCCTCCCCATCCATTCTCTCACGGTTTCCGAAATCAAATTGTAGCCAATTTTTTTTCAAGCATGCTCTAGACATAGTAAGCTAACAAATAAACCGTATACATGTTTGTATGTATCTTAGACCTCGAGAAAATTTCAATCTTGTAAAAAGTTACAAATTTTGAAAAACTTTGGTTGGGTGTAGCAAGGTGAAATTTTTTTTTTTTTGAAAAATTAAAATATTATCTTAAAATCACTCACGATTACACATCTTTTTAGCTTGCATACATGTTCCAAAAAAAATTTGTAAAATTTGAACACCTCTAATGTGAGTGCATAAAAACTTTACAATAGACTTGTCAAAATCCGGTTATTTATGGAGAAGAGTGAAGTTCAAAACTTGTTTTTAATTAAGATTTGTACCGTACACTCCTACATAAATAACTGGTTTTTGACATTCCTATTTAGTAATATGAATATTTGGATCATCAAATTTTAATTAATAATAGTAGAAATGTAAAAGAATATAGATTCGACTAAAATTCGAAAGTTTAAAATTTTTTTTTTTTTAAATTATTGAAAGTACAAAGTTAAAAATATATAACTCCTTGCAGAGGCGGATGCAACATTTTTTGATGTTTGAGATAGCTAACTTTCAGAAATTGAGCAAACTTCAAACGTTTATTTATTTAAATTATCAAATAAGAATGCATTGCAAAAAAGCGCAATGATTTGGGCCTAGAATCAAATAAGCTCTAAAATTTTGCGACACCTTCCCTAAACGCGATAGCATCAAGTTGATAAAATAATTTTTTTACTATTCTCAAATAAATCTGTATTTGTCGAAAAATTTTAAAATTCACACAAAGCATGACAAAAAAGAGATTACTCTTTGACAACAAAGAGAACACAAAGAGATTACTCTTTGCGTTCAAAAAATTTGAACATATAAAGTTTGAACCCCCTTATTTGATGGATTTCAAATTTTATAAAGCCATAATTTTTGGACGCAAAGAGATTTTTTTTATGAATTTTAAAATTTATTAATGAATATAAATTTAGCTGAGACTAGAAAAAAAAAAATTTTTTTATCAATTTGTTACTCGAACGTTTAGGGAAAGTGTCACCAAAATTTTAAGGCTTTTTTTGTTTCCAGGCTCCAAACATCGCATTTTATTGCAAATCATCCTTATTTGATATAAGTATAAAGGTATAAATGTTTGGAGTTTGTTTCATGTCTGAAAATTAGATCAAACATCAATATGCAAAACTAATGTGTTTAGCATTTTGAAAACCAACAGAAGTCGACCTTCATTTGTTTGTCTGATACACTAACTCTTGTCAAATATTTTGGTAAAAATTTAACTGTGAAGAGAAAATGTTTTTTGAAAATAATAATGACAAATGTTATCTTCTTTCTTTGCTCCAGCAATTTCAAGGCACGGTAGTATAAAACAGATGGAAGTTCATCAAGCTACAAACATCATAACAGTTTTAAATTGTCTCCTAAGTTTCACAGGACAAAAAACAACAAAATTCACTTAAATAATTTTTACTAAAACATTAACAAAAGAATTATTCTAAGGGTATGCTACATAGTTTTAACCATTAGTAAATGTAATTATTCAACGAAAGGTTTATTAAAACTTGATAATTAAATAGAACCATTTCATTTTAAAAACATATCATATCCTTTTGTGTTATGATTCGACGCAAAAAAAGAAGCTTTAACTAACATATGCCATATTTTAGTTTCTTTTTTGCTTCAAATCCTAATACGACATTTGATTAAAAAAACAACTAAAACAATTTTTGAAAAAATTAAAAAAAAAATGTTTTCTAAATTACTAAAGCTTAAAGCTTCATTAGCAGTATATCATAATTCCATTAATTCTTGTAATACTCCATTCATTAATATAAAGTTTATAAAAAAAGTTGTTGATTATAGTTTTGTTGTCGCCATTGTTTAAGTTTATACTTGAATATTATTGGAGAACCGTCAAAAACTACGTTTTTTAAATTATTATAAACGTACCTATTGGCGTCAACGTATAAAAATTAACCGTTTAAGTACAGTCTTGATATCGTTTTTTGTTTGTTTGTTTACAAAACAAAAGGTACAAGCAAAGTTTTAATGTAGTTGAACTTCCATCTATTTTATATTTCTATAGTCAAGGTAAACCCAGAGATAATTGAGATTTGCGTGGTGAACATCGTATTGATTGAACGCGTTTTTCTTACAGTGAAAGTAAGAAAAACGCATTTTTTTGCAGTTAATTTAGAAAAAAAAAATATTTTAAATTCTTAAAGTGTATTTTATTACATAAAACAATTTATTTCGTCTAAATCAAACGAGTTTGTCTCAAATTGTTATGATAAGAGTGACGTTAAGAGCCCTTTTCTGAGAAAACTAGGCAATCCACAAAATTGTGATCATTCAACCACACTCAATTTTTTTGCATAGCAATGCTAAAAAAATAATAAAGAAGCCTGTAGATTTTTTTTCTAAATATTTATAGGTGCTGAGTAATGGTCGGTCAAGCGTTTAACCTTTTAGCACTTGAAAAGTTATTATTGGGATTTTGTGATTTTTGAACTTTATTTTATTTTTATTATTATTATTTTTTTGTTGTTATTTAGGTGCTGCAAGAAGACCTAACGGTCTTGTCACAGAGCACCTCGAAAGTGCATTTAACCAGGAAGTTCACGCCTCTTTCCGTTTAAACTGAGTTTAAAGGTAATGAGACAATTTTATCCTTTATAACTTTAGTGTTTGTTTTATATTGGGAAGTATAGGTAGAACTTTCAAAAAAAAAGAATTAAAAAAAACTGAGGAAAACCTTTCCTTAGTCTAAAAATCATAAGCTGAAATCACTCATTCCAGAATTTGGGGCCTACTTTAAATACATTAATCTCAATACATAAAAGGTTTTTATATATATATATATATATATATATATATATATATATATATATATATATATATATATATATATATATATATATATATATATATATATATATATATATATATATATATATATATATATATATATATATATTTGTTCTTATTACAATATACTATGGTATAAATATCGTTGTACATTAAATATCAGAACACGGAAACTCAAAGAGGATCGTAAGATCCTGTCTCTAAGAACCGTTTAACGATGCAGTAAAAATATAACCACTTAAATAATTCCAATAAATGACGTTTAGAAATAAAATTTAAATCTAACCAGATATTTCAAAACATAAAGTAATGTTTAACAACATAAAGAATATATATAAAACTAAATATTTCAAAATAATATATTCAGGAATCACACACTTTTTTAAAAGGTATAAACTCAAAAGAACTCAAAGATATTATCAATTGACAAGATAACTTTTTTAAGCTTAATTTTAAAAGTAAGAAAACTCCAACTTTGGGAAAAATCAAAATTTTTCAAAACTATTTTGTTCCACAGAAGAGCTCCGCGATATGTTAAAAATGATCTTCCGAAACTTGTATGAGAATAATGTTGATGAATAAGATTCATTTCTTAATTCATATTTGTTTTTTTGTTTTATTGCATATAAATTTTGAAAGGAAATATGGGTTAGGTTTATCTTATATTTGTACATAAATAAACGAACATTAAAAACATTTTGCTGGTTTATATTAAGAACATTCATTTCCAATAAAAGAGGTCCGGCATGAGTATAACGATTTTTAAAGTTTATTAAACGTGCTATATGCTTCTGTTGCCGATATAGAGGATCTAATTGAGTGATAAAGTTGAATTAATGAATGTCTATTTACAAAATTTCTCGCTTTATACATTATTTCAATATTTTTTGAAACTTTATTGCGCAAAATTTCGATATGGTTTTTCCAAGTTAGATTTTCATCAATGAAAACACCAAGGAAATGTATAACTTTTAATTTTTTTATTTGAACATTGTCAATATATATTTGAGGCATATCATTTGGTAAAAGTTTTTTTTGGGATTTTGAATGAAATAAAGTCCATTTAATTTTTTCCAAGTTAATTGATAGTTTATTTGACTTAAACCAATTTGGAATTTTAATTAGTTTTATGTTAATTTCATTAAATAGTGTAATGATATTTTTACCGGATAGAAAAAGATTTGTATCATCAGGAAACATTACTGTCTTCAAATTTGAAGCATTTTGCAAATCATTAACATAAATGAGAAAAAGTAGTGGCCCTAGTATAGACTATTGGGGAAAACCACATGTTATATCTAGTAAACTTGTTGAGGAGGATACGTCAATTTGAACAAACTATTTACGATTACTTAGATAGCTTTTTAGCAAATTTAATAAATTTCCACTGATTCCATAATTTTTAAGTTTTTCTATAAAAATCTCATGATCTATTGTATCTTTTTGATAGATCAATGAAAACTCCAAGAGTAAATTGTGATTTCTCAAAAGAATCTGCAATATTACTAGTTACATGAAGTATGACGTATTCCGTGGAATTATTATTTTTTTGAATCCATATTGACTGGCATTTAATATTTTTAGAAAGATATTTATATATTTCGTTGTAAAGAATCCTTTCAAAAACCTTTGAAAAGCCAGAGAGTACAGATATTGGTCGATAATTAGTTACATTTGATAATTCAGCACCTTTATATATTGGTGTAACTTTAGCGATCTTTAGTTGGTCAGGAAATATTCCTTGTTTTATTGAGTAACTAAACACTTTGAATGGTATAGTTTTTATGATCTCGTAAGATAATATAATAATGTTACTATTTATTTTGTCCTGACCTCTCGCTTTATTTGTTTTTAGCATTTTATAAGCACATTCAAATTCTTTCATTGAAATTTCAAAATTATCAAGTACAGAAGTTTTGGGAACGCCA